ATAACTGGACTCTTTCCTATAAAACAAAACAAGACAGTCACACATGAATAGGGAGAGAAAAGAAAAGCAAAGATAGACCATGCAGCTTCTCTCCCTTGTGCTGACTCTCACTTGAAGCCTCACTGCTGGAGAAACACAGGCCCAGTGTGGGATCAGGCACTGCGAGACCTGGCAAATTTGAACCGGCATTGAGCTATTCAAGGCATTGCCTGTTGCTGCTTCTCCGCTCAAAAAGGGAGGCTTGTCCCGGTGGCTCAGCCAGACTCGTTACACAGAACGTAAAAGGTGAGAAAGAGAAAAGAGGAGTCAAACCGAGAGGAAAGGAAATGACACATGATGGCGAGGGGGTGACAGCAAGAAATCGAAGTTTCACATCTCAGGATTTAGCCAAAGACACGGGAGGCAGCAATTAGGTTGCAAAATAGTTTTGACTAAAAAAAAAAAAAAAAAAAATCCTTTTGGTAATGTCAAAAGGGTACATTTTGTTTCAACCCAACTCAAATTTTTTTGCTTCAATTTGAGGCATTTTTGACTAAAGCAAAGGAAGGGGGGGACTAGATTCACAACACAGCTGGAGCAGACGGTGCTGCTGCTGCACTTCTAAGCTTTACCCCAGTGGTAAGGTACTGATGGGGGAAGACCAAAGTTCGGTTCCCTTTTGTCTGACATGGAGCAGGGATTTGAACGTGAGGCTCTCACATTAGCAGAAAGTGCCATATTCATTGGGTTATAGCAGGCATTCTGACATGGTACTTTCTCAGGCTCACATGTTGTAGCTGTTCCACTTTATATAAATAATTACATAGTCGTTGGAGCATTGGGGTCTCCCACATCCTAGGCAAGCACAACCTTACCACCAGGCTGTCGAGTCATTCTCATTGCCTTTCCCTGGGTCAGTGACATCCACGGTGGCAATCCATAATCATAGAAATGCAGGGGTGGAACAGAACCTTGAGAAGTCATCAAGGCCCCCTGTGCTAGTGTAACCCACACACTTCCTGGGTGTGGTGCTCTGTCCCATCTAGAGGCAACGAGACCACTTAGAGATTAATGAGTCTGCTCTACAGCCTTAGCTAAGAGCCGTGTGAGGCTCCTGCATTTAGCTCTAGAGGTCCCAGGTTCAATCCTGACCGCCAATGACCAGGCTCTGTCGGTGTTACATTAGACCATCTATGACAGGTGTTTGACCAGCCTTTTCTGAAAAACCTCCAGTGACGGGGATTCCACAACATCCATTGGAAGCGTATTCCAGAGCTTAACTAGCCTTATAGTTAGAAAGCTTTTCCTAATATCTAACCTAAATCTCCCTTGCTGCAGATCATGCGTGGCGCATGAGCCCCCCCCTTTGGGACGGCTAGCGACTTGGCCCTGCCCCTTCCACCCAAGGCCCAGCCCCTACCGCCCCCTGTCGGCTGGAGTCCCCAGTGGCCACCCCCCCTCCATCCACCAGAGCCCTGAGCGCCCACCCTCGACCCCCCTCGGGCAGAGAAGCCCCAGCCAAACTATCCCGGGCCACCCCCAGCACTGGGCTGCCGGCCAGCTTCAGCATCAGCTCTAGCGCTGGGCTACTGGCTGACCTGAGCGCCAGGTCACTGGATAGCCTCAGCACCTGCTCAAGTCGGCCACCCGCTGCGCCGGGCCGCCCCCAGCATCGGCCCGCTGGCCTCTGAGCTTCCACCAGCTTCGGTGCTAGCTTGGGGGAGATCGAGCCCATTATTTCTTGTCTTACCTTCAGTGGCTATGGAGAACAATTGATTACAGTCCTCTTTAGAACAGCCTTAACACGGCGCTCAGCTGAGGCCTCACGAGTGCGGAGCAGGGTGGGACCATTAGCGCCTGTGTCCGACACTCCTGTTAATAGCCCCCACCATGACATTCACCTTTTTCACAACTGCATCACATTTTGATGCTTGTTCAATTTGTGCTCCACGAGAACTCAAATCATTCACTCTGGGTTTGGATTGGCACCGAGTCTGGGATTTTTGACTTCAAATTTTTTTGAAAAAAGTGATTTTCAATTCAACCTGCAATGAATCTTTTTTTGCGGGGAGGAATTGCCAGTGAAACAAAAAATCAATTATCTGTCCAGCTCTTGTAATGAGGCCTTCTCAGAGCCTGCTCTCTCGCAGGACAGACCACCTTTAGGATCAAGCTTGTTGGGGACCCCCCCCCCCTAGGCATAGCTACCAAGTAACTCGAAAGAGTGAAAGACCAAAGTGTCA